AGAGACTCTGTCTCTCTTTTCACACGCTCCCAATGTTATTGGTTTTCTTTTTCCTTTTTGCCTAATTTGATAAGTGTATTGCCGTGTTTTAAGTATGGCTTATGGAACCATCTAAAGGGGACCTGTAGTAAAAAATGTGTAAAGACACACATATCCTTTTCCATACAAAGATCACCACTCGCGTCTGTGTTTAGCATATTAAAAAACGGAGGGGTGGCTCGGCACCTGTACTCAGTGGCTAGGACGTCAGCCACATACACCAGAGCTGGCGGGTTGGAACCCAGCCTGGGCCTACCAAACAATAATGACAACTACAACCAGAAAATAGCCGGGCGTTGTGGCAGACACCTGTAGTCCCAGCTACTTGGGAGGCTGAGGCAAGACAACCACTTGAGATCAAGAGTTTGAGGTTGCTGTGAGCTATGATGCTAGAGCACTCTACTGGGGGTGACCAAGTGAGACTGTCTCTTAAAAAAAAACGATAACTGTATGCCGGGCTATACAGTGACAGTAGTGAAGAGATGTTATTCCACACACTTGCAGGTGCCTTTTGCTTTTATTTTCCCAGGTCAATTCAGGCACCAACATTTACACTGGAAACCTGACTCATCTGAAGGGTCATTTGGCTCAGACAGTATAAAGCAGACTACGGCCTGCGGGCCACATGCAGCCCGCTGAGGACATTTATCCGGCCCGCCGGGTGTTTTTGCTGCCGCTGCCTGTCCTGCTTAGCAGCCAACTCGTTCTGGGGCCAGCAGTCTGGCCCTCCAACGGTCTGAGGGACAGTGAACTGGCTCACTGTTTAACAAGTTTGAGGACCCCTGGTATAAAGACTGCTTCTCTGGGGGCAGTTAGGAAAAAATATACCTCCTACCTCCTGGGAATGCACCGAGCAGATGCGTCCAATAGATGGCAGCGTCTCCCAGTGCAGCCAGCGCTGCTCAGCCAGCTGAGGAAAGCAATTCCTGGAACCTCAGCTGCAAAAGCACTTGGCCCTCCCAGGGGAAACAGAGCGGCAGCCTCACCTGGGAACTTGCTAGAAGAGCAGATTCTTAGGCTGTACCCCCGAATATTGAATCTGAATTCTGAGGGTGGGACCAGAAGTCTAGGGGCGTTGTCTCACTGCATTGCCCAGGCTAGAATGCCGTGGCATCAACCTAGCTCACAGCAACCTCATGCTCTGGGGCTCAAGTGATCCTCCTACCTCACCTCCTGAAACTACAGGTGGTGCCTGCCACCACACCTGGCTAATTTTTCTAATTATTTTTAGTAGAAATATAGTCTCACTCTTGCTCAGGCTAGTCTTGAAATCTTGAGGTCCTCCCACCTCGGCCTCCCAGAGTGCTAGGATTACAGGTAGGAGCCACCGCGCCTGGCCAGCAATATGTGCTATAACAACCCCTCTGGTTGATTCCAATTCACCAGGATGTTATAGAAGCCCCTATTATCTCCAACTTCCTCATTTCAAGAAAGGGGAAATTAAGACGCAGGAAGTAACTTGTTACTAGGCAGAGGCGGAGACCACAGAGAACTTGGCTGGTCCGTGTGCTTCCCACTTGGGCCTTTAAGTATTTTCCTTTCTTTCTCTGCATGTTCATTCCTCCGCTCATTCATGCCTTCGGCCTGCCCTTACACGCTTTGGGCTGCAATGGAGAGCCAGGCACTGGGGACAGCCTCATCTCTCTTCACCCTGTGGGGCTTCCTTGAGAGCAGGGGTCTAGGATTCGGGGTCACAGAAGCCTCGGCTGGATCTCTTCCAGCTCACCCTGTGGCTGCGATTCCAACCCAGATGGAAGTCTGACGTGGGCTGCAGGGTGCTACCATCCCCCAGTTCCCCCTGATCTTCTCTTTCCTTTTTCTCAGCACCCCAGGGCTCTCTATCCTGTTCCTCATTGTCCATTTCTTGTTCTTAGGAGAGGTACAGAGCTGAAAGCTGTCACCGTTTCCTATCCCAAAGGGACAAGTTATCAAAGTCCTGCCCAGCTCCAGGTTTGCACCGAAAGGCCCAGGGCCAAGTCTAGACCAGGGTCTCTTAACCTCAGCATATGAACTTTTTATGTTTTATTTATTTATTTTTTGTTGTTGTTTTAGCTGGCCTGGGTTGGGTTCGAGCCTGCCAGCCTTGGTGTACATGGCCAGTGCCCTACCCATTGAGCTTCGGGTGCCGCCCAGCATATTAACTTTTTAAGTGGGACAACACCCTGTTGGAGGGCCATGGCCTGTGCATTGCAGGGTGTGGAGCAGCATTCTCGGCCTCTGCCTGCTAGATAACAGTAGAATCCCCTGCCAGGTCTTTTTTTTTTGCAATTTTTGGCCGGGGCTGGGTTTGAACCCATCACCTCCGGCATATGGGACCAGCATCCTACCCTTTTGAACTACAGGCGCCACCCCACCCCTGCCAGGTCTCAACAACCAAAGATGCCTCCAGACACGGCTAAGTGTACCCTCTAGATAGGGCTGCCAAGTAAAATAGAAGATGTCCAGTTAAATTCTGATCTCAGACAAGCAACAAGTCATTTTTAGTATATTTATGTCTCAAATACTTTTTTTTTTAATAAAGAATCTCACTTTGTTACCTTCAGTAGAGTGCTGTGCTGTCACAGCTCACAGCAACCTCAAACTCTTAGGCTTAAGCAATTCTCTTGCCTCAGCTTCCCAAGTAGCTGGGACTTCAGGTGCCTGCTACAACACCCCCAGCTATTTTCTTGTT